GCTAACGGCGCGACCCTCCGAATTTTACCAGACAAGAAGGCGATCGACTTTTCTAGTCTAGCGATATTGGATATATAAATAACAGGATTTTTATGGTGGCCAGCAGTTAGAAAAGAAAATCGCGAACGGGTAGTTAAATGTAACGGTCGTAATAATAAATTATTGTAAGATAAATTATTATAAATAAACTTTAAGTAAATTAAGTTTGTAAGTTGTTATAAATATTGCACCTTTAGTAAATTAAAATAATAAAAACAATAAATTAAAATTAATAAAGACGTTATAATACCCTTTCTAGGATTACTTCGTTTGTCTTCATCTTCAATATCATCTTTAATAATTTAAACGTTTTATTGGTTATCCCCAGTTGTCACAGTATCTCATACATTTACTTTATATTCAGTCTATTGTGGGCTTACATTCATAGAGTTTCCCTTAAAGCTCATATTTAACCAGTTGTTGATCCTGCTTTATGTGCTTCACAAATTTTTCAGTATCAGTCATTACTTTTTGTTGCTGCAATTTTTCATCGTATAGCTTTGAACAAATGAATTAAAATATTAATAATCTTACATTTTCATTATTTAACAATTCCCTACGTTCTTTACTAGCTCGACAACACGGCAACGATGTACCCAAATCGGTAAGAGATGTTGAGGGAACAATACAATACCCAGTATTTTTCTTTTTGTGATTATTAAATTTCTTAATTCTTTATAAAAGAGATACCGCGACATGTGATTTGTTCTTTATGCTTTTATTCTTGAAGAGGGTCTTGTTTTGTTCTTTTATCAAACCTCGTTAATTGAATATTAACATCGCTTCGCTCGGGCATTTGTCACAATTCGGCAGAACTGAAAGGCTACAATAATAGTGACAGTGATGATCAAGCTATAATTAAATAAAATTTATAGAGCTTACAATATAGCATCAGCAGTACGTCCCGTCGTCGTGTTGAATTCTTTTCATTTTTATCTTCAATGGGATTGTCATTATATGTAAGTGTAAATGTAAACATTATCGATGTTGTTGTTTTTTCATCGTGTTTGTTTTGGTCTTTACGCCTATTGTGATGGGTTTTTAACAATACCGACACTGTCATCAGTAAAACGTTAATATTTGCTTATGCATGTTGATTTATTTTCAATAATGATCAAGATAATTTATTGGTTTATTAAACATGGACTGGATTAAACGGAAAGTCCCACAAGTACAAGAGTTGTAAATTACATAAGGGTTTTATGTAATTTCGGAATTTATTGTTAGCATTGACGTTTAATTAAAACTATGAATCTGCGAATTTAATTATAGTGGGAAAATCAGAAACTATTGGGGAGTATAGATATACACGAGAGGCTAGATATTTTACAGATGAATCTACGTGAATCCCTATTGCGATCCATTTTCACTAAACTAACTTTAAATACTTATACAACGTACTCAAAACTGAAGACAGTAGATATGCCAAGCCGCTTATTGGCAAAACGAATGTTAGAATTAAAAAAACAGTTTCGTAAACAAAAAAATTTAACAGTGTAACTCAGAAGATTGAGCAAAAACGAAAATCTTGTCATCATGGCTGCTCGATCATTAATTGGATCTTCCAGTTTATTCATTTGGTACTATTCATTGTAGCTTGATGTCAGTTGTCCATGAAAATCTTAATCTGTATCATCGTCATCATCGTCAACTTCCCTATGGTTTCACCAACACTTTTCACCTACTCTAGAGACTTCCTATACCCTGTAGGAGACTCTAAACTCCTTAAAAATCATTGAATTCCAACAGACTTAGGAGAAAACCTATCTTTAGATTAATATATTATAATAATTAATACGGAGAATGTATAACTCCCTTCGCCTTTGCGGATGATCTCGCTGTTCTGGGTAAGGTATACGGGAAACTCATTGAGGACTTGATGACAGATCTCAGATTGGAACTCGCGGCAGAGAAGACCGTAGATATCATTCTGAAGGATAAAGGGGAAAAAAGGCATGTAACTTCAAAGAAATGCGTCAAATATCTGGGGAGTAACGCTACAATACTTTGGCGGATGTATGGAGAATATGCGGGTGGTAGCCCGGAAGAGTGCGGCTGCGCTAGGGAGGGTCATGCCCAACATTTGAAGATCCAAATTAGAAAGGAGGAGGGCCCGACACGGTGTTGTGAATGAATCTCGAACGTTATAACCTCGTTTGGGCGATGTGCCTTTTCAAGGAATTGTCTTCATTTTTTGCAGGAGTTTTGAAGGGTATAGCAACGTGAGCAAACGGGGGAGTGGCAATATGCTGCTAGCTGCGCAGGAAAAAATGATGGAAGCTTGAGAAAGGAATTGTTAAAAGCCCAAGCACGCCTGGGGGGGGGGGGGGCTGCGCTGTCATCAGATATACAATGGGAACGGCTCTTGGATCAGCATTTTGGCTTGCAGCTATTTGATTGGGGTTGCTTCTAGGACATCGTGATACTCATCAGGATATTCGTTACCAGTCAAGTGTAGAAGTTCGGCTGAAGGGAATGGAACTTTTTTGTGAGGTGCCTGGTAAGTATGTGCCCGAGGCGATGGCATGGAGTTGTGAGTGAGTTTAGCTGTTGTTAAGGCTATTGATAGTGCGTAGTACCTATCTCTGGCTGAAAGAATAGATTCTAGACTTTTGCAAAAGAAGCAAAACCGAAAAACGCTCGATAAATGTCTGTCCCGTACTGAGCACTGCCCGAACACTGATAAACGCTGAGCACTGCCCGAAAATTGTCTGCGCCGAACACCGCCTGTGCTTTTGCAGTGACTGTAAGTATATTATTTTTTGTTTATACAAGTGTATCCTTTGGTTTGTTATGTGTCATTACATATAAAAAAATTTGTTCAGTTGTTGTATTTTGTCAAAAAACTCTCGTCAATATTTTTTTTATACTTTTATCAAGTACCACAGTTTTATTTTATGTTTCTCATTCGTTATTTATGCAAAAACATTTTTGTATAAAATTTATGAATATGTTTATAACCAAAAATAAAAACAGTTTTATTTAAAAAATTATGTACTTTTGTTATGAATTATAGTTTATTCGTCTTCCGGGTTTGGACCGTGTCATTTGTGAGTGACCCAAAAGTGGGTTCATCTCGACGTTTCGCTACAATTGTATGTAGCTTCTTCAGGAGAACAAAAAAGAAAGAAAGGAGAAAACAAAAGAACAGGAAGATGGGTAGTTAGCAACGGTAACTCAGTTACTCAACGCAACCAGAGGCGAATACTAACTACCAAGATGGGCATTTGGTCACAGTAACTCAACTACTCAACGCAGCCAGAGGTGAAAACCAAATGCCAGGACAGGGATTCACGTCCAACAGCTCAGAACACTAACGCGTCGAGAGGCGGGGAGTGAATCCGACGATTACTCCGCTACCGCTCTATTTATAGTCGCGGTGCCTGTCGTGTCGGGACGTATCGGCACACTTCGTGGCGCGAACGTCAAGAAGCGCGCGCTGGCCAATCATGTGGCTGCATCATGTTGGCGGGACCGAGCGGCGGTTCTAGACTGAGATTCCAGATGGGAGACAAGTAGTAACCTTCCTCTCGATTGATATTATGGGGATTTTTTCGGATCTCTAGAGATTCGCGGATTTTCCTGGAATAAAAGAAGAAGGGGCCTTTAGAAATAATATGGGTCTATGGTATCTAAAAGCCCCTTCTTTTATTCCAGGAAAATCCGCGAATCTCTAGAGATCCGAAAAAATCCCCATAATATCAATCGAGAGGAAGGTTACTACTTGTCTCCCATCTGGAATCTCAGTCTAGAACCGCCGCTCGGTCCCGCCAACATGATGCAGCCACATGATTGGCCAGCGCGCGCTTCTTGACGTTCGCGCCACGAAGTGTGCCGATACGTCCCGACACGACAGGCACCGCGACTATAAATAGAGCGGTAGCGGAGTAATCGTCGGATTCACTCCCCGCCTCTCGACGCGTTAGTGTTCTGAGCTGTTGGACGTGAATCCCTGTCCTGGCATTTGGTTTTCACCTCTGGCTGCGTTGAGTAGTTGAGTTACTGTGACCAAATGCCCATCTTGGTAGTTAGTATTCGCCTCTGGTTGCGTTGAGTAACTGAGTTACCGTTGCTAACTACCCATCTTCCTGTTCTTTTGTTTTCTCCTTTCTTTCTTTTTTGTTCTCCTGAAGAAGCTACATACAATTGTAGCGAAACGTCGAGATGAACCCACTTTTGGGTCACTCACAAATGACACGGTCCAAACCCGGAAGACGAATAAACTATAATTCTGACTCTGGCCGTGGAAGCCTACGATTTACTTTTGTTATGCTTTGCGGCCAGTTCTTTTGGAGTCATATACGATACCATGTTGTTATTATCATAACCCTACTTTCACGTTCTTGTTCTAGGGTTAATACACATGTTTTTATTTGTAAATATCGCTCCGTTATATTATAAGTTCGTATTATCTTCTAAACATTATGTTGTGGGTAAGGCATTGTCTGTCGTAAATAAATGCCGTATTCATTTTCGAATTAGTCAACGTCCGGGTAAAAGTCACGCGCTATATTGATTTTCGTTTATATCATGCTACAGCGAACAAGATTTAATTTTGTAATGTAATGAGAATTGCAATTAAATATTCATGTAAAAGCAATATAGTAGATTACCAAAAACCGTAACATTAAATTTCAGTGCTCACTGCTTTCTGTAAACATTTTTTTAGTTGATGCACAGAATTAAAAGGTATCGGCTAGATTAAAAAGTATGATCTACAAATAAGCAAAATACGTTGAATACGAATATAAAGAATAAGAAAACTAGTAGTTAGAAATTAAAGAAAAAGATAAGAATCAAGAATAATCCAAAAGCATCAGGTGATTCTGCTTGCTATATAACGTTGATAGGCCAGTTGTTGGTAAACCAATCATATATTTGATTTTGATATATGATTTGATTTTTTTATAACATCGCTATCTAAGTAATATAAAAAAATATATAATAAAGTGATAACTTACGCTTTAAAAAGTATGTCTCCCGAAATCATATTCAACTGTATCTTGAATTTCAACATACTATTGTCCTGTCGGTGCCTTGTATCGTAGCCTTCCAACAGAGCCTTTTTGTGTATCATACCGGCGCCAGCATATTCAGCGAGATTCAAATCGACGAATCCCAATTTGTTGAACGACCGACCACCTTTCGATTCTTTCCTTATGGATATCCTAAGAACGCATCGTTCCATCACGCCCGTGGATGCGTTGGCCATCATTTTACAGGGAAAGGTGAAGTTTGCGTTCCAATGTACTTTATGATCTTGCACTTCTTGTCTGAAAAAGAAAAAAACATTTTCAGTGTTACAATATTATTTAAAATAGCCTGTGGATGCTAAAATACTTTTACTTTGCCCAAAATGTAATAAGAATTGTTCCAAACTTACTTATAATTTTAAATTGCATTGATATAAATATGTCCCAAACGATATTTTAAATAAACTACTTTTTAATGACATCTTTAGATACAATAATCCAGAAAATCTAGAAATACTCTACGAACATGAAGCTTAGGTGTGTGTTTCAGAAGATATGGACCACAGTACTAGGAAAAGCATTGGTTAAACAAATCACATTTGTCAATGATAACTGGCACCAATAAGAAGATACCCAGAGCTAAAACTACAAGAAAACGAGAAGAATGCGTTAACCTGAGGCAGCAAGTAAAGCAAACAGTACGACTGGAGAAGCACGAATACTAAGAGCGAATGTGTAGAGACATAGACAACACGACTGGTTATAGTAGGTCAATGAAAGCTTGGAAAAAATATTAGAATAAATAATAATCAAGGTAACTTCTTCTTCTTAACGTGCCCTATCAAGTCCCCTTGACGTTGGCGATTAACATGGCGAAACTGTCTCTGTCTCGAGCTATTCTAAAGAGTTGCTCAGCTTTCCTTATTTCTGTCCACTCCCTGATATTCTTTAACCAAGAGGCCTGCTTTCTACCAATTCCTCTGCGTCCTTCGATTTTCCCCATCATAATAAGTTGAAGAATATTATATCGGTCTCCCCTTACTACGTGTCCAAAATAGGCCATCTTTATACATTTGATGTTATCAAGCAGCTCGCGAGCAGCATTTGCCCTCTCAAGGACTGCCACATCTGTCAGCATAGCCCTCCATGGATTAGAATTTTTTGTTACTAGTAACTCATTAATTTTTAATTTGATTACAAGACAAAAAAACATTATTATTTTTACTGTTCGGAAACAGAAATGACTCTTCATTTATTTAATTTATGAAAGGAAAAACTCAATTGTGATAGAATGACGGGAATGCCGATCACATAAAACCTATCGAATATCCAAATTACATTTAATTTACTCGAAGTGATGAGCCGATTAAAGGTGACATGAAAAGGGCGGATCACTTTAAAGTGGCTAATTAGATTCTGGACATTGGTAGCCGGTCAGCAGTTGAGTATCTGTGGAAGTTTTTGGAATGCTGAACGATAGAGGAATTTACTAAACAAATTAAAAAAAGTTTTTCGTAAAAGAAACATTCAAACCGTTGAAAATTTCATATAGGTACAGAAAATTTAAGAAAGCGAGTGTCAAAATTTGAAAGAATATCTTTTTGAAAGAATGTATCGGACAATCAATAGATTTTAAAAGTTATTGTAACTTAGAAAAGTGCCTAGATGCTTTTTCTATCATCATTTTGTCCAGCGTGATTTGGCCAACACAGTTCGAATTCAACTAAAGTACAGTATTATCCCACACATGTTTCATGTATAGTATGTTTCATGTATAGTATAGTTTCATGTATGTGTTACAGTATTATCCCTTATATACAGGCTAGGATCGTTACTGTAAGGTCTGACGTAAGATAAGGTCTCAATTAACTTTCCCTAGTATAATTACAATGAATCAAGTCAATATAGAAACGGCCCTTAGTCCCGGGCACCTTTTAAGTGGGGAGCATGAGAAGCATGATAAGAAGTTTATTCCATGCCGGAAAAGTGAATAACGTAATTAAAGAAATGAGAAGATTCAACATTGGCATACTTGGATGCAGTGAAGCTAGATGGCCCAATTTAGGCCAGTGCGAAATAGAAAACCACCCAATATACTACTGTGGACATCATCATCATCATTCAGCCCATACTCGTCCACTGCTGAACATAGGCCTCCCGTAGTTCACCCCACAAATTTCTGTCCTGAGCCGCCTGCATCCAATTTTGATGTGTCCGTTTCAGGTCATCCGTCCATCTTGTTGGTGGTCGTCCTCTATTCCTAAAGGCATCTTGTCTGGGTCTCCACTCAAGAATGCGTTTTGTCCATCTGCCGTCCTTCGTTCTCGCGACGTGCCCTGCCCAGTTCCATTTTAAGGTTGATATTCTTTTGATTGCGTCGGTTACTCCCGATCTACGGCGCAATTCTGTGTTGGGTATTCGGTCTCTCAGGGTTAATCCCAACATGGACCGTTCCATTGCCCTCTGTGTTGTTCGAATTTTGTTTGCGGACGTCTTAGTAAGTGTTAGCGTCTCCGCACCATAGGTTGGAACCGGCAGCACACATTGATCGAAGACTTTTCTCTTGGGGGAAGATGGGAAGAGCTGATTGGAAAACATCTCTTAGCTTTCCATAAGCTGCCCATGTCAACCCTATTCTACGTATTAGTTCATTGGTCTGGTTATCTCTACTTAAGCGAATTTCGTTTTCCAGATATTTGTATGCTGATGTTTGTTCTATACTTGTTCCAGCTATGTTGATGTTCTCACTCAGAACAAGGTTTGTCATCACTTGTGTTTTTGAGTTATTGATTTTTAAACCCACTTGTGTAGAGGCATGGTAGAGTCTTTCGCACATTTCGATGGCATGATCTATGCGGTCTGTTATCAGGACTATATCATCCGCGAACCTGAGGTGACTAAGCTGCTCTCCATTTATGTTTATGCCCTTTTCGTCTAGGTTTGCACGCTTACACATGTATTCCAATAATGTTGTAAACAGTTTTGGTGAAATGGTGTCGCCCTGGCGAACTCCACGATGAATGTTGAACTTGTGTGTATCTTCATGGAGTCTGACGCATGCCGTGGCATTATCATAGATATTTTTGATGACAGTGGTGTAGCGGTGATCTATTCGGCACTCTTTTAAAGCTTCTAGCATTTTCTGGTGGTTTACTGTGTCGAATGCTTTCTCATAATACACAAATATTAGGACGAGGGGTTTATTGTACTCTATACATTTTTCGATGAGGCTTTTAATAACTTGTAGATGGTCGTTTGTGCCGAAGCCTGACCTGAATCCTGCCTGTTCGCATGATTGGTAAAAGTCCATTTTGTTCGAAAGTCTGATTGTTATGACTTTTGTAAAAAGCTTGTATATGTGTGAGATGAGGCTGATTGGTCTATAGTTTACGAGATTTGTTAAATCTCCTTTCTTAAACATTATAATGATCACTGCATTTTGCCATTGTGATGGTGTTGTTCCTCTTTCAATGCATTCTGTAAAAAGTATGGAAAGCATTTGTATCAGTTTCTCGCCTCCTAATTTTATGGCTTCGGCAACGACCCCGTCGTCGCCAGGTGACTTATTATTTTTCATTTGTAGGAGAGCTTTTTTGATTTCATCAATAGTAACATCTGGTATGTGGACATACTACAACAAGAAACAAAAACGGAGTGGCTATAATAGTAAATAAAGAAGCCAAAGAAGGAAGCAACATCCAAACGATTAGAAGCCTTCGAAATATGATGCTACCGCCGCATGCTCAGAATTTCCTATATCCATCATGTTACAAACAACACCGTGATCCAACGTATTGTTACGTAAAAAAATATATGAGTCATATTAAAAACCGTAAACATATCTATTACTAATATTCTGTTGATTCACGATTTTTCTAGGTATTACCTACCTGACAGACGATAAGTTCCCCTCCGCTATAGAAACAACAATCGAGCTTTCTGGAGATGAGTCGATGTAAAAATACCAGTTTTTTAGACCATTCGCCGCTCTGTCTACGTCGAGAATGCCATCGAACTTTCGACGATGTCCCAATGGTTTTATATAAATAACGGGGATTTTCATTGAGGAATCAGTCAAAAAGAAGCCCGCGCTCGCGTTTAAAATGTACGCACGTATAGATAAATTGTGTAATTAGTAGTCAAATACATTGTTTTACAGTGGTTTAATAAACTGATAATAAATTATCGTATTTTAGTAAATTAAAACAAGAACAATAAATTAGAATTAATAACGACTTTACAGTATGAATAAATATCTGGAAATTATGCGTATCGTGAAAATCAGAAAGATGACATACTTAGGACATATGATGCGCAATGAGAAGTATCAACTAATTCAACTAATTTTACAAGCCAAGATCTCAAGGACGCAGAAGGACATCGTGGTTGAAGAACATCAGACAGTGGGCAGGAATGACTACCATACATCTATTTAGAGCAGCTGTCAACAAGTTGTATGGACCAAAGTGATTGCCAACATCCACCAAAAGAAGAAGAACATATGCGTGGGAGTAAAGTCTTCAACAATTGTGTTACCAAACATCGAAAATTGTGTCGAACTAGCAGTTGGAGAAAATGAATATGACTGCCTGTCCCTCAGGGGCGGCTCGTGATAGTACAAGCTGGTGAGGCACACTACACTTAAGGAAAATTATTATTATTATGGTTAGCTTCTCTTTGCTCCAGTCATACCCGGCTAAGGAGGCACTGCTCGCGCCAGCAAACAATGACTTGGCGTGAGAAGGACTTCTGACGATACGCGCGCGGATCAACAAAAGTCATCCTCACCTCAAAGCTCTCCTAAGCCCTCCTCCACCCTCCCTTATGTGCACTGAAGGTACAACATAAGGGCTGACTGCTTTTTGAAAAAGTCCGCGATTGAGCTGTATTTATGAGCACCATGTGTAATAGGGTGCTCATAAATGTAACTTAAATCATACCCAAGGTGTCGTTAAGCGACTTACTCCCGTTTATCATGAAATCTCATAGTGTGAGATAAAAGCGAACGAAAAACGAGGGAGCTGTAATCCTCGAACCTGCACCTTGGTTAGCGGCCAAGTTGTAGCCTCAAGGATCTAGGTGGCCTCTCCCGTGGCCTTTTTGTATTTTTATAATTTTTTTGTGAATTTTTTATTATTTTATATTTTTTTTTGAATTTATATATTTTTTATTAATTTTTTTGGGATTTTTATATTTTTTTGGGGGTTAGTAGGTATTTTTTATCTGGGAGATTTGTTAGTAAGTGTTATAAATGGCGACTGCTAATCTAGTGCCATCTTCTTCACGATCAAATTTGGTAGATAAAAATTCAAATAAATCTTGAGCAGAACGCCCGGAACTTA